GGACTTAAACTAAATTATTTCTAAGTTTTATTTATAATGCAGTACTAATCTGATCAAAAAAAAACAAAAACACTTTTAAAATGTGTGACATATAAGATGTAACTATAAATATATCTTTTTCAGCATCCCAGGAAACTCCTACAAAAATTGTCCAATTACCAATAACCCCAAACTACTTGTCACATCCACCATTTCCTTATGCAACAAAAGACAGCACTCAAGTTAATTCCAACTCTTCTGTCATGAATGCTTCAACAAAGTCTCAAGAAATGACTAGTTTTCATAAAGTTAATAATCACCTAGAGACTCAGAATGAAGGTATGTTGGTATTTATGTGCAATTGATAAACAGTAAGTCTTGATAGTTAGTTCTGCTCATAGCAAACACTTTAACTCTTTCTCTCCCAATTGATGATAATAGCGTAGATTTTTTTTGTAAAAGCCGATTAAGCGACGATATTGCCGTTGGTGCAGTTAAACATCTTTGTTTCGTTCCTATTCTTGGTTAATAATTTTAAATGCTTATATTCTAAATCTACATGATTTTCGCTCGCAGAAGAGTTCACTGTTTACTTCCTTCAACATGGATTTAATATTACATAGTGTTTTGAAAGTCGAATTTTTTTTTTTTTTGTTTGTGTTAAAATTGAAATGGAGCTTGGCCCATCTGGAGGTCAATCTACTAAAACTTGTAGATCTAAATTATATTCAGATCAACAAGTAAAAGACCTTATTAATTCGGATGACAGTGATTTTGTTTTATCTGTTCATAGTGATAGTTCTAGTGCTAATGTTAGATCTAGAACTGAATCTGACATTCATTTTCCTTTAATTCAATATCAAAAACATTATTCTATGATTGTAAATAAAAAAGTTATACCATTTTAATTAGAACATGTTAGTGCACTACAATCGGATTAAATTAATAATTCCGTTAGAACTTAGAAAATAATTGTGGAAAGAAAGAGTTAATTATGTTAAGTTTTTTATTTTTAATTAGTTAAAATTACTATAAAATTGTTCAAACAGTAATATAAACTTCAATTTACATTATGGTCATTTAAAACCTTGTTACTTGTTAGTGTCAATCTAGAAAGTACTTTGAATGTCTAAACTGAGACGCAAAAGAATTATGAAGACTCTAAAATTCATGTATTTTTAGGGGTCCCCGAAAGGGGAAAAGACGCTATTAGTTTTGTGTGGCCTGTCTGTCTGTCCATCCCATTTAGATCTCAGAAACTAGAAGAGAAATTAAAAATCAGTTATCATGATATTTTAGATCATTCAAAGTTCTGATGCAACTGTTACTTTTTCTCTTCTGAAAGTGAAAAATCTATAATTTTTTAAATCAATTATGCAAACAGTTTTTTCATAAAAATACACCATTTTGACAACTATTCACTATAAATAGTAACAAACACTGGAGGCTATTTAGTAAGGGAGATGACTATTTAGCATTTTTTAACACATTTATGCAAATAATTTTAGATTTTTGGTAAAAAAATAATTTTTTTTTACAATAGCATTGCTAAGTTATGTAAGTTCTGTCATACTAAATACTACATTTAAAAAAAAAAATTTAACTTTTTCTTTAAAGATAAAAAATCTATTTACTTTGCAAATAAGTTGGACATAATTTAAAACATAATTAATAAGTATTTTTTCATATTATCACTTGAACTGCAGAGCATTCCTACAGCCATGGAATACAAAACTAAAGGAGTATTTTTTTTTACAGAAATGTTTTTTTTCTTCAGGCTTTAATTAAGAGACTGACCCTTTACAAAACAATTAGATACCAGGTTCACATCTAACTCCACATTCACTTTCAACTATCCCCTGGTCTGCTGGACCACAAAGGATCTGTCAACCTTCTTTCTCCATTCTTCTCTGTCATTTGCCTTTGATAGAATTTCATTATGATATTCTTTCTTAAAATATTGATACCTACCTTTTTGCCTGCCTGGGTGGACCTGGACCACTTCTGGTAGAATTTAATACCGATATTCTTCTGAAAATATTGATACCTACCTTTTTGCCTGCCTGGGTGGACCTGGACCACTTCTGATAGAATTTAGTACCGATATTCTTCTGAAAATATTGAAACCTGCCTTTTTTCCTGCCTGGGTGGACCACTTCAGGCACTTTGGGGGCGATTTTGAGTTTGTTTCCACACAAACTGTCTTTGTTGTAACCTTGGTTGTTTTTTTGTTCAGTTCTGTTTGGAACATTTAAAAATAATCAGGTTTAGAAAGAAAAAAAAATTGTACATCAAAATTAAAATATTGGCCAAAGATATCTATATCTACTAGGCTCAGCATCTACCAAGAAAATCACTTTATTTCAAGAGTTGTATATAAATTCTAAGTTTTGAGCCAGTTTCTTCAATCGTCTTCTGTTCACATTAATGCCATATTCTCTAAACAAAACTATATGTTGTTTGTCTTCACAGAGTTGGTGTTAAAAGCCAGGATTGCAAACAGTGATGAAAGAGATTTCATTGAAGTGGAACTGAGCCTGTCCACTCTGACCTTCACCTCACTGATCAATTTATTGTGTGCTGAGCTTGGTGTAGATAAAAACCTAGTCGCCAAGATTCGGAAACTGCCAGATACTATTGTCAGAAAAGACAAGGATGTCAGACGGTTGAAAGACTTTCAGGAGCTGGAGCTTGTCCTAACAAACAAGGCAATGAGCTCTGCCTCCAGGACCTACTGCTTAGGGCCTGCCAGGAATGCTGAGACTATACTGTATTAACACATTTGCTCATCTGACAGTGCAATGAAGTCAACCTGAGTCACTGTTTAATACTTTAAACAGAAGTAGAAAAAGTTGACATTTATCAAAATCGGACGAAGAAAAAAATCTCCTTGCTGCCTTTTCTTTTTTGTCTTGTAGCTTTTGGGCAAAATTTTTTTAAATATAGCTCTCTATAATAGAAATTATTGTATGTTGAACTGTAATTAAATTAATTTACTTTTACTACTGCAATATTTTAAATATAGTCTTTTTACTGTCATAATACTTTGTGTACTGAGTCATTTTATGTTTCTTACATGGGTTAATTTTACTTGCAACATTATTGTTGCTGACATATTGGTAGTTCATATTGAATGATTATAAATTATTATATTTAGATGCTTGATATGTTGTAACATACCTTCTGTCAAATATGAACAACACTGGTATAAGACTTAGTCATACTTTTGTTTACTTACCAATCAATGTAGTCATGAACAGATATCCATCATCATTTTCATACAGACTTCTCAACTTTAGTGGCCCCACAAATAATCAAAACAGGTTGACTTTATTTACATGTTTATAACTTGTAGCATCCAATTTAGCTGCATGTTATATTTTTTTAATATGATACATATCTTGTAAAATCATCAGAATTAGTAGTCAAGTGTGATAATGCACTCTAATTTCAATGTATTTTGTATGTGTAAAGCAGTGGAAATCTGAGCCAAATCTGATGGATTTTAAAAAAAGGTAATTTTGTTACTTCCCTTAGCACTCATCTTTACAGATTTTCCCATTACACTCAAGTGACAAGTATCTTAAGCAATACATGAATTCCCTTGCTGCAGTCATGAATACACAATCAACACCTAGTGTATATATAAATTGTTTGAACTTCTATTCTGAAACTGAAATATTTTATCTCTAGAAACTTTGAAAGACTCATCTTATCTTTTGAAACTTTGAAAGACACATTTTATCTTTTGAAACTTTGAGACTCATTTTATTCTCTAGAAACTTTGAAAGACTCATCTTATCTTTTGAAACTTTGAAAGACACATTTTATCATTTGAAACTTTGAGACTCATTTTATCTCTAGAAACTTTGAAAGAGTCATCTTATCTCTAGAAACTTTGAAAGACTCATCTTATCTTTTGAAACTTTGAAAGACACATTTTATCTTTTGAAACTTTGAGACTCATTTTATTCTCTAGAAACTTTGAAAGAGTCATCTCTTGAAACTTTGAAAGACTCATCTATCTTTTGAAACTTTGAAAGACACATTTTATCATTTGAAACTTTGAGACTCATTTTATCTCTAGAAACTTTGAAAGAGTCATCTTATCTCTAGAAACTTTGAAAGACTCATCTTATCTTTTGAAACTTTGAAAGACACATTTTATCTTTTGAAACTTTGAGACTCATTTTATTCTCTAGAAACTTTGAAAGAGTCATCTCTTGAAACTTTGAAAGACTCATCTTATCTTTTGAAACTTTGAAAGACTCATCTTATCTCTTGAAACTTTGAAAGACTCATCTTATCTCTTGAAACTTTGAAAGACTCTTCATATTTCTTGAAACTTTGAAAGACTCATCTTACCTTTTGAAACTTTGAAAGACTCATCTTACCTTTTGAAACTTTGAAAGACTCATCTTACCTTTTGAAACTTTGAAAGACTCATCTTATCTCTAGAAACTTTGAAAGACTCTTCTTACCTTTTGAAACTTTGAAAGACACATTTTATCTTTTGAAACTTTGAAAGACACATCTTATTTCTTGAAACTTTGAAAGACTCATTTTATTCTCTAGAAACTTTGAAAGACTCATCTCTTGAAACTTTGAAAGACTCATCTTATCTTTTGAAACTTTGAAAGACACATTTTATCTTTTGAAACTTTGAAAGACACATCTTATCTCTTGAAACTTTGAAAGACTCATCTTATCTCTTGAAACTTTGAAAGACTCATCTCTTGAAACTTTGAAAGACTCATCTTATCTTTTGAAACTTTGAAAGACACATTTTATCTTTTGAAACTTTGAAAGACACATTTATCTTTTGAAACTTTGAAAGACTCATCTTATCTCTTGAAACTTTGAAAGACACATCTTATCTCTTGAAACTTTGAAAGACTCATCTTATCTTTTGAAACTTTGAAAGACACATTTTATCTTTTGAAACTTTGAAAGACACATTTATCTTTTGAAACTTTGAAAGACTCATCTTATCTTTTGAAACTTTGAAAGACTCATCTTATCTTTTGAAACTTTGAAAGACACATGAATGTAATATGCATGCATTATTCAAAGTGGTCATAGAGGTACAAGTTCTATCTTTTCAGCCAACTCCATCATTAGCTTTCCTAGAAAATACTGGCTTATACATTTATTTTAGTCCTCAAAATGTCTATAGTATTTGTGTGTGTGTGTGTATTCTTCTACAAGTATTGACGTATTGTTTTATAGTTATATTTTATGATCTTAGAATCATTGGCTTATGAATTTGGATACTTTTATAATATTATTTTAAATGCTAAAATAAAAATTGCATCAATATCAATCTATGATCCAAGTTTCTCTATGATAGCATTCTAACCAATTCTGAAATTCATCATGATGGGTTTCCAGTCTTAGCATAGTGCAGGAGTTGGCAACCTCACTGACTTAATGGTCCACACAATTATTTTCAAAATCTTAAGCCTGGCAGGCCACAATAAGTTAAATTTTAATTAATGAAATTTTTTCTCTCTTAATATTGAGTTAATTCAGTATATAAGTAGATCATGCCAGACTTTAAACTTTTTAATAGTTAGTTGTGGTACATACATCTTAAGTATCAGTACAACCAAATTTTAAAAAGTGATAATTTTTGTCAGGGCTCGGTAGCATGTAGAGCTGAGCTGGCTGAATGTTTCTAACACCTTGAATAGAGTACTGTAAGCTCAGAGCTCCATCAAAATTTAGGGGCATCTAAAAGTTTGTATGGACTTTAAATGAATAAACAAAGAGAAAATGTCTGCCTACTAAAACACTGTATTCAGAAATTTTATTAAAAGTATTTAAAATATATATTTAAAAAAATGAACAACAAATAGTGTAATACTACATACATAAACAAAACCCTGACATTATATACTCAAAGCTTTAACTAAGACTATACTAAATTGTTTCAAAAACATTGTTGTAAGTTCAATATTAATATTTACAGTTACTTGTAATTTTTAGTCATTGAAAGCAATGTCTTTAAAGTTTTAAAATTTGTATTCAAAAGACTTTAAAAGTATATTCTATAGAGGTTTACTTGTATAAAATGGGTTAATTTCATACCTGAAATCCAAGACTAGTTAGGGTTAAAGGTTAAAGTGTTCTTTTATCTGTCATAAAAATTCTTTAATGGCATTTTAAGTTTTGGGTTTTATCAATTGTTACATTGTTGAAGAATAGGACTGATGCAAATTACTTTCAAAATTCAGAAAAACCATACAGAAGTTGTAAAAGCAGATTAATTTTTTGCATCAACAAAGAAATAGAGAAAGACTATAACTTTACATCTAATTAATCAAAGTCCAGTCGTAAAGCTAATTGCAATCATTTATAACTTGTGATTATATTCCCCAGAATTTATTAGCATTCTGTGGGCCATTCTCTTAATGTTAGACATCAAGTTTGTATTTATGTAAAAAATCTAAAAAAAAGTTTATATCTCCCTTCTTAGAGCTAACATTACAAAGGACTTAATGAAATTATATATATATATATATATAATGCCTACAAAAAAAAGACAGCTAGAGATTCAATAATAGTGCCATGTTTTGAATATATTCTTGTGCATGATCCCGTAGGCCTAAAACTTTAATGTGGGTATGCATAAAGTACTTGGACCCTGAGAATTACATATTTCTTAGAGTCTAAATAAAACATATCATCATCATCAAACTCCATTTGAGTGATGGCTTGAGAGGCTCAAATCCTATCTGGCAAAAGCCCTGGACAGAAACCCTGCTGTTTTGCGTAGTGCATACTTTCATATTAAAACATATAAAGGGGAAGTCTTCTCAAATAGCAATAAAGTTTGTACACAAACAGTTTTCTCAAATAGCAATAATTTTTATAAAGTATGTACACATACACAGTTTTAAGTTTGTCTACCAGATAGTTATCAATAATCAACCGAACGCAATATATTTACATGAGCATATGATAACCTGAGTTGAAAACTATTGACAAAAAGCTCTGGAGAACTAAATATAAAGGTTGCTTATAGATTCATTTATTTCCTTGAGCTTCAAATAAAAAAAGGGAAGAGATGTTTGTTAGGAAAACAATACTAGTCAAATTAAAATGTTTGAAACCAGCTTTAAATCAAATTTAACAGTTTGTTGCATTTTTTGTTTTCTTTAACAATCTTTGTATTTACGAGCTTGGCAAACATTTCAAGCAATTCTGTCTTTGGGGTCTACATATGTCATTCCAATGTATTCAAAGATGTCTTCTTCACTATTTACTGGCAGAGCTTCTCCAGCAACACCTGAACAGAACAAAGAAAGACAATTAACTCTTTCAGTGCGGAGTGTTTTGACAAAAAAAAATGAGTTTTGTGGGACAGACCCAAATGTGCAAGGAGGGTAGAGTTACTAAAACTAGCATAACTTTTTATTTTATGATATAATCTAAAATATTTGAATTCATTTTAAAGGAAAATGAGTTGGCCAAAAAAGAGTAATAAGTAAAATTAATTTTTCAAGAAAATGTTTTTTTAAGTTTAAACTGAGTACGGAAAAAGGAAATATATTTTAAAGTTCATTCAAAAACCAATTTACTGACCTTTTAATTATACATTTAATCCATAAATAGTGAAAAATCACCAAACTAAACACATTTTGCTACTTTAAATATCACAAAAGAGGAACAAATGCACTAAGAAATTGTATTATTTACATTTTTTCAGGTCCTGCGAAAAAAAAAACAAAAAAAAGAGGAACCACTAACATAATGTTGTCTTTTTTTTATTTACAAAAGTGTTGGTCCTGCATCCAATTTACAACCAAAACAAAGAACAATCAATCACATATCCACTAAAAAAAGAAAAACATTATAATGATAGTGAAATAGATTTATTTTTATTTATAGACCAAGTTACTCAATGAGAGTAACACTGCACTCACAGCACTAGCAAAGTTACTTTAAGAAAGTAACATCACACTGAAAAAAGTTAAGGATTAGACAATGTTGATTATTCAGTGGACTTTAAAACTACACGTCTGAATTGTATGTGAGCATCTGAATTGTATGTGAGCGTGTGGTCTTAATATTTGCCTATAGTAACATAGTAGTTTTGTATGATTTAGTTGGGCACAAGTGAAAAATAAAGAACAGATTTTAGATAGTATTTCACTTCTCTTAAACTTTTTTTGGGGGGATGGCATTGTCCTACTTAGACAAAACCAAGATATGCATGAAAAAAAACTTATACTTTTGTGTAGTCTCTTTTGGTCTGTCCTATTTAAATCTCAAAAACTAAAATCACTACTAAAGATCTAATTTCAACAAATTCTGTAGCAGGCTAAAAATAGATGTATTGGAATCTTATGGACTTACATGAAAAACTTTTTGCTTTTAAAATTAAAAAAGACAATTTTTCAGAATAGTAACACCATTTTTAGAAAGGACTTAAAACAAGCACTTTTCATCTGATATCACCCTCATTTCATTGTGGTCAAAAATATCAACTCCATTTCCACCTGCATTGCGTACAAAACAACAGAATCATAGGGGCTGCCAAGGGGTTTCACAGAAATGTTTTTGCTACCTTATTGAACAATATTTAAACATTTGAACAAAATGACAGTTTAAGATGGAAATAAATAATTTATTAAATTATGTGGATGCAACTTAAGCTCTTTTAATTTGATAAACAATATTTCCTCCCTTGGATTTAGTAGACGAAACCAAGAGAGAATGTAATGTGACAATGTGAATTCTGACAAAGTTTTACAAACTACTGTAATGTGCATATCAAGTGACTAACCAGTACTCCCAACTGGTCTTATAGCATATTCATTCAGGATGAATCCTTGTTTCTGTGCTTCTGATCTCATGTTGGCATTAAAAACGTCTGAGCCAGTAAAGTAAAGCAGTGCACAGTAGTACTGATCTGCAGGAATTAGTCTAGAAGTAATGAAACACGTTATTATTAGGCTGAATTTTTTTTTTAAATGTTGCTAAAAAGTTCAATGCATTTTTCAATGTATATATAAAAATCATTTCTATGCCATGTTGTAGGTTGACTTGTTGTAGGATGTTAGAACAAAATGGTAGAGTGCTTAAAACAAAAAGCCAAATGTCTTGAGTTTCAATCCATGTAAAAATCGGGTACATGATTTCTATTGGAAAAGAGAAAAAGCCTCAAAGAGAATTTAATAATATACTCCTAGAGGTTCTGGGTCCTAAGTATCAGGACTTTTATGCAGTTAAGTGTCAATACATCATTGTCTATACTTTTACAAGTGTATCATACCACAGTATTATAACATTATGATTATAGCATAACTACTCACTCTAGCACCATGACTCACCTTATATCTATCCTTCGATATAAATTTTCATTAGTCTCATTTTTAGAAAGCAGACGACACACACCCTAAAAAAAAAAATTTCAACTATTCGTGTTACAGCAAATACAAATTTTTAAAAAATACAGATTTGCTTACTATTATTTTTATAATATCAAGTGATTGCTGAGTCAGATTTCTGCATCCATCTTTATTAATTAATCCAAAACAATCTTTAAACCAAAGTGAATTAGTTCAACTAACAATAATAATCCATCCTTTTTTATGGAATTTTTCTCTGGACTTTAATTATTTGTACAAATCAAGGAGAACATTTTTCTCCTTTTATTTGGTAAAGGAGAATAACATGCTAATTAGATTTAAAGAAATACATTAATTCCTAGACTTCTTGAAACAGAACAAAAAAAAGTTGTAACATACATGTCATAAAAATGAACTATCTACAAACACACATAGCTAAATTAAACCAGAAATGAATGCTGTATTTAATGAAACTCATTTTACATCCAAACCAGCTATAAATGCATGATGTACATAGAATTCTTTTACACTTGCTGAATTTTTAAACATACCATAAATTTGGTATCTCCAAGTGATAAAGTATCTGTGATGAAATGAACATCTTCAAGTTTCTTGACCACTCTATGAAGAAGTGATGGCTGCAAACAAACAAACATTTTTTTTAATTAGATAAAATAAGAAAAATTACTTTGGCAATTAACATCAACATGTTTCAAGAGACACACCAAACAAAAAACAAAAAATCAAATAAACAATTTAACAATGACTCTCAAATTTATAAATTTAAAGGATAGTTAATAATTTTTGTCTAACTTAAGTTGTGTGTGGATTTGACTTTGAGTATCTGCTGTGGTGTAACATAAGTACTTATAATAAGAACAAGTATTTAACAGACAAACTGAACTCTGCCTGAGATACACTAACAAAATCCTACTTCAGCAGACAACAGTTATTACATGAAATAATGT